AAAGTATAAATCAAGATTAATGAAGATTTGGCTAAAGAATAAACACCTAAACCCAAGAATAGGTTTTCTTAGAATGTCTTTCTGCTTCAAGATGAACTTTGCTTTACACAAGGATGATTCAGAGACCATCTTGAGTCTTGTGGCTACCATGAATCCCTCTAAGAAAGACTGTCTGTTTTAGCAACTTGACTTGGCAAACCACTAGAAGGCTTTTTATGTGGCTTCTTGTTTGATATAACTTTAGTTAAATCCACTGTGAGGCTTTTTATAGTGCCTTTTTGGTCCGTGAAGAAAGATTAGGAATTACCAGAGAATGGCATGGAGGAGGATACAGTATCACATAGAGGTGATGCAGAGCTGCAGGCAATAGGCACTTACTGCATTCTGGAAGAATCTCATTCCTTCAAGCTCTCGTTGATCTGATAACATTTATAAAATTGGCAACTGACAAACTATTAAAGTTAACATGCTAAGTTGTTGACAGAAATCAGTGATGCTTTTGTACCAAGTAAGGCTGAAAAACTGAGACACAATGGAAAGTACCATGACTTAAAATCTTCACTATGCATCAGGGACACTTTGTTTATTAACATAAACTGTAAAATGTAATGTCAAAAGAATAGGATTACTCTGTGGTAACGGACAGATGACTTGGCCCAATAACCCAGAATACAGTTTTTTATATATATCTTAAGTCTGCAGGCTTCACTTAAACGGATTTTGTAAATATACTATAAAAAGATATACAGTAATAAACATTTGAGGTCCAGTCCATACACATACTGTATCGAATAAGTACACATATAACTTCAAAGTACATTGTGTCAGAGTGGCTTAATGGTGAAAATGAAGCAGGAGACTTGTGTTCTACGCAGATGAAAGGCAAAAGAAAGCCCCTCCTCATTGTTAGCTAACTCTTTGTCAGGTAAAGTTGAGATATGCACACTCTCAACTTTAACACCGCCCCCCATCTGCACTAACAATACATGCACAGAAGTTGTCCAACATTAAGTATCAAGATAATAATAGTGGAACATTGTTTGGAAGGAAGCCACTGAGGAGCATGAAACTTAAGGAGAAAAAAGACAGTTGAGAAGACGAGAGTAAAAGAGCAGCGTGTGAAGGATTACATTTATTGTTTGGGGTTTGGTCTGACAATAAAACAAATATATCAAATACCAGGTCATCAAGAGTCACTTAACTTTTTACAACAGAACAGGGCAGTAAAACTAGGTAAACTCAGAAAGTGGATGTTTTAAATAATTCCAAATATTTTTTGAMGTTCATCAGCCCAGATGATGACCTGGTTTCCATTATTTGCTTTATTAGGTAGAACAGGTGCATTAAAACAATGCGGGATTGCAATGATGTGTGCTTTTGTGTTAGTCAGCACTGGCCCCTAGCCATGCCAGGTGAAGTACAAGAGGTGTGTGTGGGTGGAAACCTTGAAATTTGATGATGTTCTAAACCGGGGAGGAAATACTTACAGAGCACAATAGATTTGGGGACGATCATCGAACCAAACAATTACTTCCCTCCAGCAGCTAGAAAGGGAATTACAAGAGAATACTGCCCAGGTGTTTCAAGCAGCAAGCGTCAAAGGAGGATCGGTTTTGGATGCGTAGCAAAGCGTTGGCGCAAAGGACAAAAACTGCAGAACCCAGAGTGCGACAAAAGGAAAAGAAAGTGAGAACTTGCAGATGCTTGCAAAAGACTACAACCACAAAAAAAGCATGAAAACCTGATCAAAGCGTCAGGGAACAGGCTGAGGATACAGTGGTTTGCAAAAGTATTCATACCCCTTGAACTTTTCCATATTTTGTCACATTACAACCACAAACATAAATATATTTCACTGGAATTTAATGTGAAAGACCAACACAAAGTGGTATACAATTGTGAAGTGGAAGCAAAATTTTACATGAATCAAAACATTTTTTACAAATAAAAAACTGAAAAGTGCGACGTGCAAAAGTATTCAGCCCCCTTTTCCCTGAGTGCAACCAATTGCATTCAGAAGTTGCCTGATGACTGCTAATGACTCAAAAGAGTCCACCTGTGTGTAATCTAATCTCAGTACAAATACAGCTGCTCCGTGACGGCCTCAGATGTTGGTTAAGAGAATATTGGGGAGCAAACAGCATCATGAAGTCCAAAGAACACACCAGACAGGTTAGGAATATGGTTTTGGAGAAGTTTAAAGCAGGCTTAGGTTATAAAAAGATTTCCCAAGCTTTGAACATCTCACGGAGCACTGTTCAATCCATCATCCGGAAATGGAAAGAGTATGGCACCACAGTAAACCTGCCAAGACAAGGCCGTCCACCTAAACTTACAGGCCTAACAAGGAGATCACTGATCAGAGAGGCAGCCAAGAGGCCCATGGTGACTCTGGATGAAATGCAGAGAGCCACAGCTCAGGTGGGGGAAACTGTCCACAGGACAACAATTAGTCGTGCACTACACAAATGTGGTCTTTATGGAAGAGTGGCAAGGAGAAAGCCATTGTTAAAAGAAAACCATAAGAAGTCCAGTTTGCAGTTTGCCAGAAGCCATGTTGAGGACACAGCAAACATGTGGAAGAAGGTGCTTTGGTCAGACGAGACCAAAATTGAACTTTTTGGCCACAATGCAAAACGCTATGTGTGGCGGAGAAAGAACACTGCACATCACTCTGAAAACACCATCCCCACTGTCAAATATGGTGGTGGCAGCATCATGCTCTGGGGGTGCTTCTCTTCAGCAGGGACCGGGAAGTTGGTCAAAGTTGATGGGAAGATGGATGGAGCCAAATACAGGGCAATCTTGGAAGAAAACCTGTTGGAGTCAGCAAAAGATTTGAGACTGGGGCGGAGGTTCACCTTCCAGCAGGACAACGACCCTAAACATAAAGCCAAAGCTACAATGGAGTGGTTTAAAAAAAAGAATATTCATGTGTTAGAATGGCCCAGTCAAAGTCCAGACCTAAACCCAATTGAGAATTTGTGGCAAGATCTCAAAACTGCTGTTCACAAACGCTCTCCATCCAATCTGACTGAGCTTGAGCTGTTTTGCAAGGAGGAATGGGCAAGAATTGCAGTCACTAGATGTGCAAAGCTGGTGGAGACATACCCTAAAAGACTTGCAGCTGTAATTGCAGCAAAAGGTGGCTCCACAAAGTATTGACTCAGGGGGGCTGAATAATTTTGCACATCGCACTTTTCAGTTTTTTATTTGTAAAAAATGTTTTGATTCATGTAAAATTTTGCTTCCACTTCACAATTGTATACCACTTTGTGTTGGTCTTTCACATTAAATTCCAGTGAAATATATTTATGTTTGTGGTTGTAATGTGACAAAATATGGAAAAGTTCAAGGGGTATGAATACTTTTGCAAACCACTGTATTTAGTTGCAAGGTGTCATTAAGATAAAGACTACCTTGTCTTATTGCCCTGACAATGCCAGTATTAGCACTTGTCATTAACAGCTGTTTGGTTCAAGAGTTTACCCACGCAAATCCCAACTACAATAGCTTTCACTGCCAAACTGACTCAGACCTATCAATAAGCTTGGACTGGGAGTGATATTTAGTTTGTGTCATTGTCTCTCCATGTGTGTCTTCTTACTACATTGTTTATATGAATAGAGAAAAATAACAGTTTTAAGYACACAATGAGGCCCCAGCAGAGTATCAATCAGCTGCGCACCTCTTGAAAGCATCAAAGACTGCACAGAAAAATAACCTTACACACCCTTTTAAAAACACTCACGCACCCTGCACTTACCCACTTTTGTGCATAAATACACAAAGACACACACCATTCTCACTGACTCACCCATACTGACAAAAGCGTGCATGCACACACACACACATGCAATTACATAAGCACCCTAGGAGTTTGGCAAAGAGGAGGCAAAAATCAGAGTGGGAGGCCAAGCACCTGGATGAACAGATTACGGTCTAAACCCCCACCAGAGACACATAGATGATCTGCTGCAAACTTCAATTTTTCTCCTTAGAGTAGGTTCTGGGCCTCTCTTCGCCTGAGGAGCACTGCAAACCTCAGTAACCTTGGCTCAGAGACGGTCTCAAAAATCAGCTCATCACTGCTGGGGTTGACAGAAAAAAACTCGAAGGATTTTATGACAGAAAATGGATTTTCCAAACCCATCAAACTGAGATCACATGCATACACCATTATACTCTGATCCTAGTTAAAAGGATTCATTAAAGGTGCAATAAAATGCTAATTAAAATTGGGATCACATGTTATAACGTGTCTTTAAAAATGATCAACAATATTTTGCTTTTCACTTTCTTGTGAATGTTTGAATTGGCTCCTAATGGTGACTTTGTTTTGTTGTCTTGCAGTTCGCAGCTTCATCTGAACTCCCACAGCAGAGTTGAGCAAAAGCACTTTGAACACCATCTCCTACATTAACTCCCATGACAGCCTTTCATATGTCATCATTACTACTCTATCTGAACTCATGAGTACATACAGTCTACTGTGATGGTCCGATTTCTTTTCTTGAGGCTGTTGCGCCACCTAGTGGCCATAATACCCAACCTTACACTCTTTAAAAACTGCTTCAGCAAAAACAGTAGTATCTGGAGGCAGTAATCAGAATTTAATGCCAATTAAAAAGTAAAACTTGTTCATCGCCATACGTTGAAGTATCATTGGGAAAAAAATACATCCCTCATTGTGCTACTGCCCTATATGATTATCAATGACAATGACAAAAACAATATATGGACTGTATAATTAACAAAGTGTTATATATGTAAAAGAAATTTTTGTAAAGTCCTTTTAAAAACCTACATTTTAAAAAAGGCACTGAAGGTGTGCAAACTTTATCAATTTTCCAAGAGAAACGAATTTTACATGTACAAAATCAGTTCTCAAAACATAAAATTACACTGAACTCCAGCTTTAGCTTGTGAAAATAAAAACAACTACGTTTTCTTTAAAGTTCTGCATTATAATGACAGGGGACATCTTTAAACAAACTTACACCATTGAGACACGAAACTGGACAGTGTCAGGAGGCTGCTCTACTCCCGGCTTCACGAGAGTAAGAAACCAGTCGGGTCTGAAGATCCTCAGTTGTGGGTTCCCGTGCTGGTAGACATGGAATCTGAGAGGAGACAAGGAAACTGATTCTTAAGATCTACAATATAAATCAAACATAGCCTGTTTTATTTTGAAGAACAGCAATGAGTTAACAAGACCCAACATCTGAAAACATTTTTGAGACATTTTTTTTGTATCTCTACAAAGTAGTGGTATCTCTACTTTTTACTGATTAATGTTAAAGAAGTATAGCGTATTTGGACCCTGAAAAATAGTTGTGATTTCTATACACAAATGGTTATTTTCTTCAATTTGAAAATATTCTTTTGTTAGCACTCACACAAAAATGATGCATATGTTTTACATTGTTTTTACTAAACAAGGAATATTAAAAAGAATAACAAGAGTTAAACAATACAAAACAAAAAAATACACTAACTGGAGTAATTTCCAAAATATCATACTATACATGTACACACCAAATTAAGTAATTTCACACAAAAAAGTGGTGTTTTACTCAAACCCATACCCGTCAAGTGTGTTATTCTTTTACTTTGTATTTACATTCATCTAAATAAATAATTCACTTAAAATCTAGACACAAAATCAGTGTTGCCAGACATATGATAATTATCGCATTTGTACGAAAATTATCAGATTTGTACGATAATTTGAGCGCTCCAATGTGTGACGTAATTGACCAGACACGCGGCTCTCTGACATGAGAGGTGGCGGGTTGCGGAACACAGAGGTGCCGATTTAGCGACTTTCTCGCTAAATTTACAGAGTTTTCAGACCTTCTAGAGACTGTTATTCAGAAAAGCGACTAGTGAAATCTAGCAACTCTTTTTCTGGTGTTATTGAGACTTTGAGAGACTCTGCCGTGAACGCATTTCTCCACTGTGCAACGGGTGCTACTGAGCGCTCCTCCCCCATCCCAGAGCACYGACAGGAGGCTTCTTCACACTGCGTCTCTCTCCCTGCTGCAGGTAGATATCCATCCCATCCAGACATGAAATGAATACTGCTGCTGCGACTGATCCATGATGGGATGTTAATAAAAACATTTTTATGGCTAAAATATATCCCCTTTGCTGGTCCCAAGC